CCTACCCCTCTCATTTCACAAATACCCATCCCAAGTGCATAACAAATGGGGACTTGTAAGGGGGTGTGTGTCCTGGTCGCGTGTTATTATGTTGGAAGTCATTATTATGTTATAAGCGCTATTATGTAATCTTAATTAGAGTTAGCGTCATTAGGAGTTTTCGGTTGGACACGAATCAACCAACTTACATCAGACTCAACGAACTTACCAGGCATTCTGTGATATAGATTACAGGCGTGCTTTTAGTTCAGAGTCTACCGTGAGTACATTTAATAACAGTAAATAGAACGCACAGGGGGCTGTAAAGGTGGATTCTGCGGGGGTATATTACCCGAGACAACGCTTTCATGGCCTTTGGGAGGAAAGGAACTAAATGCCCACTACAGTCTCGGACCGGGAAGGGGCGATAGGTCGAATATCTCCTCCTGCCTAGGTATGGTGATATCTCATCAAAATTCCAGTACAAAGAGGTGAATAGTTGTGCCTCTGCTGCCTCAATGCTCGTGAGTTACATGTCTTAAGCCAGGGCGTGAGTTGCTTGCACTAGAACCACATTAACCTTTATTCGTCAGTCTGTTGACCCGCTTAGTTTGAAGCCGCCGGGAACCCAGGTTTGCTTTTGATGTACAGCTAATACTGACGGGCCGAATTCAGTCCGGCCTGGTCTACTGAGATCAGAAATCGCCCGGCTCGAGTGGCGTTCTGCTTCAACATCCGACCATGTCAACCACTCGCTCGGCGCCTGAGGAAACTCAGAAAAAGGAAGTAAAAAAGTTTACCAGATTCGTATCCTAGTTAATCCTCACCAACGTGACTCCAGTTGGATCGGCAATATCTGTAGTGGCTTTGGTCCACGCCCAAGGGTGCGTTCAGCCTTTTTAAAACATGAGGCCATCATATGTTGCATTTTTTTAAGTTATCCTCGGGGTCCCTCGCAGGCGACGGCAACATCCGGCACGCTAGCTGTGAATAAATATCTCTAAGCGACGCGGCCAGCAGCCATGTGACCCCTCCACCGTGACACAATCTGACTCAAACCATACATGCTCTTAGGTCGCGAGCTAAAGTGACGCATGTTCGGTACAGCTATTCTCTAACTAAGCCATGAATTCCTTTTCTCGTTGCAAGGTCGACGGTCTCGAATGGCAACAGCTGTACACGCAGACATTCTTCCATCTTTTGGCCAAGCCAAGGATACAAACCTCAGTCTAACAACACCGATACTGGGCTGACGAGTGGCGGTGTTCTCCGGTATAGTCTGAGTAGCCTGGGCACCTACTCCACTTGGGAAGGATACATCTCAGATCACATTTCGCGCGGAGAAAAGTTGATGGATGACGGAGGCATGTCTGGATAACTCAGGGTTTTTGAGATGTTCCCCTGAGTGGGTATTCACGGATGAGGGTTGACTTGGGGTGAAGAAAAAGCCGCCATAACTTCGCAGTGGTACTTGCTGATGAAATCTGAGGCATGAGTGCTCCTCTTGTAAATTGAGTCATTTTTTCTGTACTTTTCTTTGATATTGTGTCATAGCTAGATAGCTGCTTACGCAATTATAATCTGATGCTAAAAAAAATATGGGCTGACGAGTTTCCGACCATGATATCGTGCGCACAGAGCCTTGGTTTGTGGAGATGATAAAATTCTAATGCTTCTATTCGAGGCTGAGACTAGACAATATTTAGTCATGCCTGGCGATCATTTTGTGGGCCTAGTCTTTTGGTTAGTTCGGCAGAAAGCGGAAGCGATATCGTCGCCACGGCAACTTTGCACAACTAGCTGTGGTCCAAGCTTGCCATTTCCCGCCTCTTCGTATATATTAACGACCTAGGATGATAAGTTTTTTAGCTTCATCATTGACTGTCGATCAGTATTTCGTCTAAAAGTTCAAGGGTAGGCACTAGTAAATATGAATTGCTACTTGTACAAGTCTGAATGCTAGACCAGTTCGGTAGGTCTTTCTCGTGTTGCAGCTGTTGACTCAGGCTTTTAGCTTATAGCGCACACATGTCCTGACAGCAATATCCTGGTAGGGTCTAGATACATTTAATCTGATCCAAGTGCATGCAAAGTACACTAAGTCACCAATTTTGGCCTGTAAGAATTGTTCCTTTTCATGTTTCAAGCGACACGCCTAGCACCGTCGTGGCTGAATGGTGCGGTGGTACATCGTCAGGGGCAGTCTTCACTGCCGAAATCGAATGAATCACCGCACACTCATGCTTGAGACTGATCAAGCACCACAACGTATTAGTTGAATTCACTATAAATTATCAAAAAAGCAGCTGAAATACCTCGACTAAGTCTTGAGTCCTAAGGTTTGGTATAACAGTGTGTTGCGGTAGTAACTAGTACGTCGTCCTCCGGTCGCTAGACTGTCTCTGAAGCAGAGGACACGCAAATGTGCTAGTCTCTGTGGAAAAAGACGTTTAATCTCTCTCTGGTGAATTCAGTTAGGTTCGATATTCTGACTCATTAATATATTGATCCCGTCAGTTCAATTGCTCCGATATATCTCCAGAATCACAATCCTCTTGGCTATTTCTAACAACTAGTGGTAGTTCTGTGGCCTTCAGCATTTTGTGTGCTAATGTTGGCAATGGTCTTTCCATCAGGCAGTAATACCGAAAAATACTCACTGCTCACCCGTAAACCCACCTCATGGATTCATTGTGTTCAAATTCTTCTTGTTACTCGGTGAACGTACCATGTCTAAGCCTGAGGCTAACGGCCAAGGCAGGGCTGCGCAAGGTTAGTGCTCTATGTATGAATAATTATTTAGAAGTCAGATGTGTCAGGCAGCGGCAGGGACCCAGTTGCATTTCGAGCGTCGGGGAAACATGTTGAGCGATACCTCCGCAAAAGTTCAATTACACTCGACACATCTGAATTTCCCGAAGGGTCTAAAGGGTTGTAAGTCATTCAGACTCGTTAGGACAATAAATACTCACCTAGCAGTATTGCCAAAGCTCAGCGAACACTGACAAGGGTGCAACTGGATATGCGGAGTTGATCCCAATCTTGATTCCATCATCCGCCCTAATTCTATTTTTGTGACAAGTGCTAACCGGCGCGCTCGGCTTTGCGTGATCCAAATGAGGTGTTTCTTTAAATCACGCCCCTTTTCTAGGTGTCGGGTCACAAGGAGTTCCCACGTTTCTCGCCTAAATGCACACGAGGGTCCTCTCGCGCTAGTTATCTGCAGCTTCACCGGTTAGACCCTAGTCACAGGCCAATGAGCCGTCTCCCCGCTCAGCTCACGGACGGTAGCCCTGCTAACTTGAAATCCGTATGGCCTGGAATTCCTCTAGATTACGACGGGACATTAAAATCTTACGGACCATCTAGTAACAGCGTCACTGAAAGCTAACGGGCAGATGCGATTTCATTTGAGCATCAAGAATCAAATTCTGCGGTGCATGTCAGTAAACGAGTCGATGAGGTTAGTGACGTTTTCACCTGAATTTCTGCACGGACAGGAAGCTTACGTGCTGGGTAGATCAACCAAGTAGCAATTTGGAAAGACGAGACAAGGTTATTATCCGGCCAACTGATGCGTGGAGCCTCGGAGTTCGGAAGACCCATAAGTCGAGCATTCAGTTGGCGGGCCTGTGGCCTGCTGGATATCGCAGTCGAGGTTGATATATATCGGACAGCGTGAAAACTACGCGCAGGAAGAAATGGTGGGCCGAAAACTTTCAATGGTAACTGGCGTGACACCGTCGATGTTGATAGAACAAGAATGAGAACATTAGCTCTGGTGTAGTCTAATCGGGTTCTCGTGGCGATCACCTGAAGCAGGGCACGGATGGCATCGGATCGGATGAGCAGGTTAGAAGCCAGAAGCGCAATTCGGTCGCCGCTAGTGGTGAGCAGATTTGGCCAAGAGGTTGGCAAAGGATATTGCGTAAAGGACAAGGTGAAGTTGTAAGCCTCTACCCGTTGTTCAACCGTATCAGCGCTAGGAGTCGTGGGAGTAAGTAGCGACGACGTCACGTGTACTGGTATGCCAGGACAAAAAGGGAATTAAGGCTCACAAAAGCCATTCGGCAGTGAGGATACCACGCCGAGTCGAGTATCGGGAATAAACTTAAACCAGTGCCGCCCACGGCAAAGCTGCCCAGCCATTTCCGGTCCATCATGGGATGTTTGGGCTACCTCATTGCCCGCAATTTTTATGGACAAACATAGAGTAGCCTCCTCGGTTTCAGGGACCATTTAATTATCTGACCGATTATCTCTCTAATTTGCAAGCCAGTGCGTTTGGCCGTTAGTCCTGGCGCTGCACAGGGAATGCTTGAATAGATCCAACAAGTTCTTGCTCGTTACTCTGACCAAGGCCTGGCGATTAATACCTACACCTAGGAATTTCTTACGAGGCATCCTTTCGGTATCTGACGTGTTCTATTTTACTGCATCATTATGGTGCCTATTATATTTTCTTCTAGTCTGTGCACGCCATGCTTAGACATCCATTTGGTTTGCCAGCCATCCTCGCTCGCTGTTGTAATGAATTTACAACATTTTCATGGCGAATAAGTCTCGGGCCCGACCAACAGTATCTCCAAGAACCCGGATTCCTGATTAGAAATCCATCATGACCATCTTATGAATCGGGTGGTACCTGGAGACCACTTCGTCATAAGCATCGAAATAATGGGCCGAGAAGATCTCTCACCAGCCACGTATGAGCCGGGCTCCAGCTCACCCAACCCCCCCAAAGTACCAAAGAACTAGGGGAAACGCAGTTACTCTTATATTCGGCATCCTCGTCTGCCATTCTCAGCTGACAGTACGCCTTTTACTCATTTTTTTGGCATTACCTAAGCTTGTATGAAGGATTCCTGCTTACTTCTCCACTTCAACTGAATTGCAGAATAGTCTCGAAGGCTTTTATCGCTGACTACCACAGGGTTGCACATTGGCCAAGCTTAAGTCATTTAACAACCTCGCTCAACAACTCATCGTGATTTACCTAGCACCAATTAGATCTACGCATTATGCAACGCGCCATTAACCGCGGAGCAACCGAAAGGATGAACAAGAGCATTGAGGATAGAGCCATGCATTCGCGCTCGAGTGCTAGGAGCAACAGCCAGAACAGTGATCATAATGAACCCATCAACAATCAAATCAATAAGATGATAGCTACATGGATTCAGGATTATCATCGGCACAGCTTCGGACACAAGAATGTTGTTACACCTCACACTCGAGGCGAAACGGACAAAATCGCCATGCCACTTCCTACCCTGACCAGCTATATACCGGAACGAAATCTCCAACTGAACTCTCTAAGTACCACACATGACAACCTACCTGATTCTTACCCTGAGAACTACTATCACACACCCAACAGGACGAAGCAAGGTATGGCAATCATGCCGTCGGCTTCGACTGAGTCGCATCGAGGATCTAGTAAGATGGTGTCAACTGGCATTGCTTCTTGGTTCACTGGAAATTCGAACACTCACAAATTATCCGATCTCACTTCAAAACCATCATGGAACCATAGGAGATCAATGGTATCATCACTATCCAATACCAAATATGACAAAAACATTTCAGCCGCCCGTTTAGGGAATGATAAATCTTTGACAATGATCGACCGCTGTTCAGAAGATACCCCAATTGAGAAATCCTTGGTCTCTGATATTGAGAAAGCTATAAAATCATCATCTCCTCACGAATGCCAACAAGAAGAACAAAATGACGAAGAAGCCTTGTCTATAAGAGACCTCCTAATCAGCGCTGAAGGACTATTGTTACGACTACAGATTGCCTACGAACAGCAAACTTCAGCACTAAGAGAAATGACTGTCTCGCGTGACAAAGTAGCATTAGAACTAGAAAAGTCAAACATCCAGTCGCGAAATCTTCAAGCCCAAATTGAAAAAATGATATCCGTCGAATCACTCCAAGACCAGCGCATCGCTGAGTTAGAACGAGAAGTTTATGAAAAATCGTCTCCATGCCTATCCATATTCTCACACCACACATCTCATGAACTTCAACGAATTTCAAATTCGCATACCAGCGGCCACACAAATGATAGCTTCCCGGCTTGCCAACAGAACTATATTCATGCAAGAAGTACCGACATCGATTCAGGACAAGATAGTGACATCGAGAGTGGTGCTGGAGATAGTGTATTTTCGCGTCCACGCAGCCCTGCTCTCTCATATGCACCAAGCCTACGTGAATCAGTAGTTGATTCCCCCTCACCTCTATCGCCAAAAATTGAAATTCTCACAGAATCCTGCACAAATATGGTTGAAAAAAAAGTAGTCGAACAGCCACAAAGAACCCTCTTCGGCTTTCTGTCCAACCGAACAAACAAGGAAGTAGGTCTTGCAGAATCGGGATGCCCTAACTGCAATGGGAAGGATGTAAGTGTAGCCTGGGATACAGCAGCTTTACTCAGGGCCGAGAATACAGGGCTGAAAGTGAGGATAGAAACATTAGAAGATGGCGTAGATGCAGCTCTACGGGCCATCTACGGGGATAATTAAGGGCTAAACGATGAATCTGATATCAGGATAATTGACAATGAAATCAAGGAGAACGCTTCACACTATGTATATTATGATAGTTATGTATTAATGTTAATGAGATATATGATTAAATCTGTGATAAAAATCTGTGAAACAATGCATCACCGTGTGATAAGCACCGTCGAATACCTTGCACTAAACAGTTGACATTGATTACCTGTAGAGGTAAATAGAGCAGTGAAAAATCCGAGAACTGGCGGAAGATGCGCTCAGAGTAGTAACTAAGGCCAAGCCACAAAAATCCTGTGAGACTCAGTGCATTGCCATTATCAATTAAGAGGTGCAATGGCATATCAAAGGGTGAGTAGAGACGATGAAATTCCCCGCTCGGGGCACAGCTTGTTAATGGCGCGAATAATTACCTGTGGGATATAGATGCAGTTATTAGATGGGCCCCACTAGATCTAGCAGCTAGCAAAAGCAGGCGCAGCGCGAAGCCATCACAGGGAAGTAACCTCGGCCGGGCAGAGCGCCTGGCGTGATTGCATTCGAGGGGAAGTGGCAGGCGGTACGAGACGTCGAGAAGCGCAGGTCCGGCACTGCACGCACTGCTGAGTTCGCAGCATCGTTGGCATGGTCGAACTGGGGCGCGCTGGCGGATCCAGCATGAAGTCTTGCGTCTTCCCATGGCTCCTTCGACCGTTATCCAGGTCATGGTTGTGGCGCCGCGCCTCGACAACGCCTGGCTGCCTCCCGCAAGCCCAGGTCCCGCAGCAGCCCTACCGACGTTGCCGGTCCTGCGCACTCGACCTGCTCGGCGCATGACGTGGATTCAAAGCTGACGGGGCAATTTCCGTGGGCCCCGGACTAGTGCTCGCGCACAGCCCGTCGTCGCCGCTTGGCCGCGGTATTATCTCGATTATTCTCCATTACCGTCGCATAGCATGTCAGCTGCAAGTATCAGTTGGTCCGTATTCCGTCATGCAACGATGTGCCATGATTGTCGTGTTATCTTGATTTTAAAATTTTTCCGACGCGAGAGACGCTTGTGCTCTGGATCTCCCTTGCGCTCACCACTGCAGACTATGGCTATTCGCAGCACACAGCCAATCTCCAGTCGCGACCACCCGTGGTGTGAAGGGAATACCTATTAGTTGCGATTTCAGGGCTGGAAGAACACAAAGTAAAGCTCAAAAATTTCGCATCCATTGAAGTTCCAAGCTACATGTGAGACGGGAATTTATTTGTGTTTACCTAGGGAATAAAGTAGGTATTCCAACGATAATTATTACAAAGGTTTTCAGTGCAGCTGACCACACGATCACTGTGCGGGCAAAACTAAGCAGTAAGCCCGCACATGCGCATGTAGAAGGAAACCGTCCGAAGGACAAAGACTAAACGTCTGATCGCGGTGTCCTCAACGAAGCTGGGAGTGAAATATTCTCTGAGCCAAGTTCAATCCAACTTCGCAATACCAAAAATGCTGGCCCGCGAGGCAATGATTCAAGACACCTGATCGAATCAATCTCTCACTCTCATCGGGAACGATTCCCTACCTAAGCCTTATCATGTCTGCGAGTAAGTTCCCATTTCAACGACCATACCCGTCATGGACTATGCTCTGGTCTGAAAAGGCCACCAAATATACGCCCACATTTATACGTGCCGGAGGAAACAAAGAGCGGCGCACGATTTTTGGAGGCAATACACTGGGATAAACGTGGGGAAATCAGGACAAGTTTACAATACTTTGTAGAGGATGGGTATAATCTGGACGGGGTAGAACTTTGAAATTTGGCAAAGAGTTTTACAAATTGGAGAACATTGTGCGCGACTAGCTTTCGATTGCAGGAGTGCAGCTGACACTGTAAAAACAAGCAAACGATGGAAGGTGGCGTGATCCGTCTCCGGGTGGTTTTCTCCGATATATTCTGAGTAGCCTGGGCACCTACTCCACTTGGGAAGGAGAAGCCTCAGACTATATTCCGCGCGGAGACAATTTAATGAATATGGAAGCCTGTCGCGATAACTCAGGGGTTTTGAGACGTTCTCCTGGGTGGTTATTCACGGATAAGGGTTGACTTGGGGTGAAGAAAAAGCCGCCATGACTTCGCAGTGGTACTTGCAAATGAAATCCGAAGCATGAGTGTTCTTGTAGATTGAGTCATCTTTTCTGTACTTTGTCTCCGATATTGTGTAGGGCTCGACCCTCACTGTCCATAAGAGCATAGTTAAAAATTGTAAAATTGGAATATAAAAAAATGTAGCTAGTATCTTATATGTAGATTCTAGGAGTCCTCTATAGTCATTGACTCAGTTAGGACTATAAAAAAAATCTAATCTAATCTAATCTAATCCGATATTGTGTCAAAGCTAGATAGCTGTATACGCCATTAAAATCCGGTGCGAAAAAATAAATATCCCTAAGATTTATTGATGACGCAGGTAACCTGGCAAATTCTAGAACCACCTTGAATACGCTGGGCGGCTTCTGCCGCTTAGACCTGTACGATTAGAACTGCAGTCTCAGATAACGTGAATCTTCGAGTCATATAAATCTTCTCCGAGGGAGATAAGTTAGAGCAGGGTACCACTATACCACCAAGCCACGCATACTTTAGTATCAACTACACTTTGCCACTTACTGTCGCAGCATGAACATTTCTCCAAGTTCAAATCTCCTTTTCTTAAATCTTTCTCATTCTAATCGAGTTCTGCTATATGGCTATGACACAGTTGTAACGTTCAAAATGTATCTTAAAAACTTCTTCATGATTCTTTTGAAGTAATGCTACTTTTGCTCCATATCATCTTCCGCATGTCCTCAGGCATTTAGTTGAATCTAGGAAGCAAAGTAATGCTGCTTCCTCAATCTGTGTTCCAAATATAGTCGGTAGTTTAAGTAGTACTACCTCGGCAAAATGTTTACCCCCTTCCACCTTGAATTCTTGACAATGAAGGATTAGATGTGGCACTGTCTCTCTTCCCTCCCCACTGTAGTCACACCAATCACTTTCTGATTCTCCAATTTTGTTTTGGAAAGCCAAAGTATTTCCAGCGTCGGCCCTTGTCTGAAAGTATTCAAGCTGAGTCCTTCTGCTGTATTTGATTTGATTTCATTTATCCCGTTCAGGTACCCTCTGGGCCCATGCAAGTATATCTAGCTATAATATTTACACAGGAGGAAACCAAATTCGGTAAAAACCCCCCATAACTGTCTGCCTCGTGTCTATTTGTTTTCTGAGGTTTCCTACACGAAGTGCGATTACACTGTTTATACAGTGTGAATTCCGTCTTATCCTTGTCCACATCGTCTCATCTTTTCGTCCAATGCTATTTCTACTTCTCCTGCAAGCCGGAATTGTTCAAACCAGCCTTTTGCCAGGATCCATTTTATTATTCTCTCTATGTCATCTGGGCTGTTCATGATTGCCGCAAATGACCTGTCTTTTGCCTTTCGAAGCACTTCTCCTCTTCCTATTGCCCATTGAGGACACGCCAAGACCATATGTTTGACATTTTGAGACGGATATCCACACTGATAATTTGGATTAATCACACCGGGGACTTTCCTTTGATACAGATAAGAATTGAGACCAATGTTCTCACTTCTTATCTGAATTGCAATACTGCTTTGGGCTCTACTAAGGTTCCGGTGGATATCTGAGGGTGTTATAGTTATGAGCTTGCGGAAGATATCTTGATAGACAAATAAAGGTGACTGGCGATGTACAAGGAGAACGAATATGTGAGATGGGAGCAATGAGCTAATGTGTGCAGACTTAGTTTTCTCTCTAATTGAATGTGTGGGTTCTCTACATTCTATGTACATGGGTCGGCTAATTTACTAAGCTAGCTCCTGACAAATCCCTTGGCACACCATAACACTCCCCCTGTTGGTGATAACTATTATGGACCTTAGTATGGCCTAAAAGAGTGAGCCAACAATAGAGTGCCACTGAGACTTATTTTATTGTTACTAGTGACTTGTGCTTGGTTAACGCATCAGCCAGTTGATTGGTTGTTGGCACGTAAATAACAACAATGGACCCATCCTGAAATTGATTGCGACAGTAGAAATTTCGTAGTGCAACATGCTTTGTACGTCTGTGGTTATCATGATTTTTGGTTAGTGATATGGCAGACTGGTTGTCCACGTAGAGACTGGTGCCTTTAATGCCTTCGATTTGATCTTGAATTCCCAATTCCCAAAGCAATGACTTGACCCAGTTTAGTTCACGGCAAGTCTCTGTTGCAGCCAGAAATTCTGCTTCAGTTGATGATAGTACAACTTCACGCTGTAGATGTGATCTCCACATTATTGGCCCCTCTCCTAATCTGAGAAGTGTGCCGGACGTTGAGCGACTGGTGGATGGATCTGCGGCAAAGTCTGCGTCTGAATATGCTTCCAATACTGGTTTTTCCTTTGACCTCGTGAAAGTAATACCTTGATCGGGATCTTTTGCGATATATCGGAGCACACGACGCGCTGCTTGTAGGTGTTCCATGCAGGGATTTATCAAGAAACGCGCAAGGTGATTTACTGCAAAGGCAATATCTGGTCGGGTGTTATTTGAAAGATATTGAAGACCCCCAACAATTGAATTGTACTCAGTTCTAGTCTGGAGTGTGCATTGCGAGGCATTTGGCTCTAATAATTGCTCCAGAGGTCTGTTGGCGGGTTTACAATCAGAGAGCCCGTGTCTATTCAAGAGCGTCCGGGCATATTGCCCCTGTGTTAGTTTGAGCGTATCTTTGTCTGGGTAATCTATGTTTATTCCTAGAAATAGGTTTGTTTCGACAGGTTTAAGCTTGTACCTTTTGTACAGTGCATGCATGAGATCGTTTATTTTATCAATGTCCGGTCCTAATATCTGAAAATCATCGACATGCACCACAACAAAAAGATCCCTGCTTTGGTTGGCATACAAACACACATCAGAAATTGTTGGGAATAGTCCCAGTGATGCCAGGGTAGCCTTGACGTCGTCGTACCATAGCGCTGCAGCTTGCTTTAG